ACTGTGGTATACAAATCAACCCCCCAGTCGTCCCGGCCTGCCCCGTCATGATCCCTGGTCTGTCGTGGACAAGGATCTGGACCTTACGGCCCTAGGTACCTAGCAGATCGCCCTCTAGTGCATCCTGGGATTTCTTCCATGTACACGCCCTTACCCCTTGACCCTACGTCCGCAAGAGATGGGAGGGTGTCGACTGGGATGGCGTACGAGTTCATTCTGGCGGATGTGCGATGAGGCTTCCGCTGCAGCTCCTCCTTGACCCATGGTATGGGTATCGGACCCGAACCGATGCCAAGTCGCATCTGGTACCGTCAAGGGCCCTAGGCGTATGCGTTCACGCTTCTCTCATATTCCGATTTGTGTTATAAAATTCGTCACTTCCTCGTCAACACTGCTGGTCACCGCTCCTCCATATTTCTTCACCTATATCACTCTGCCTGATATCGACGCTTCGACGTTGTCTTCGCACACACCACCTCCTACTCTGTTCACAGTGTAGCCTGGTCTCGACTCATCTACAAACACAACGTCGACTCTCACCAAGCAATGTGCCACGCCGAAAACTGTTAATCCTCCTGGTGGTGTTGATAGTTACCTTGCGGCCTGCCCACTTCTTTCTTTCTTCCTTTCCACCAGACTAGCAGTTTTCCAAGGAAGACGACATGTCGAATACTACGCTTCTGGATAGCGACCCAGTCAACGCAAACATGCAGCCAGCGCATGGTACGCTTGTCCATGACGGACGATCTCTCGACGGCCAGGAGTACCAGCGAGGTGATCCGGTGGCCATCGTCGAGAACGGCACAGGAGAGGACCTTTCCGATGCGTTGCACATTCTCAACCTCCGGACTAACCAGTGTATGCTCGTGCCTTTGAAGGCTGTTTGCTGGGTCCCGACTCACACTGAGCAACGATCCGGAACCACTTTCCTGCTTACATTGTACGGACCGAGCCTGGATTTCCGCCGTTCCGCCTCGGAGCGCCCTCAGATGGGATATCGTGGCATCGCAACGCTCTTCGGCTCCTGTGTCTACGTTGGACGCGAGGTCATGCTGGAGGGCAACGCATCAAGAGTCAACCTGGAACCCGCCAACAGAGTCTCCTTGTTTACGGCCCAGTGGGACGCTCTTTCACTCAGCGTGGATGTGCAACAACCTGCACTGACTCCTTCAGCATCCTCTTGCGCATCGTCCAGAAGCCCTTCTGAGTCGGGGGACGATGTTCCGCCTCCTCGGTTCTACCGTGTGCAAGGGCGTCGAGACTCTGCCATCGAGATTCGAGACCCTGATTCTCCCATTTACAAGTCTTCTATGGGACGAATGGTGAGCACCCAACCTTGAAAGCCATGAAGGCCAGAACTTCAGCTGACCACTCTTCAACAGTCCACTTCACCTAAGCCGTTCCACATTCCCACTGCATCTTTCGCAACGAAACACAACTCTCGCATTGTTGCTGAAGCACCGAAGACCCGACCATATGGAAGCAATACTTGGTCAGACTTGGAATCTGATGACGAGTTCAGCTTCGACATTGATCCGTCATTCAGCCTCGATCCTGCTTTTGCTGACAATCTGGACCTCTGCATCGGCGAGCATTACATGGACGGTATGATTGTAGACGCCGATCTGCAGGTCAACTTTGTATTCATGCCGCAAAACGAGAGCAGCAACTACGTGCCTGGACAACATGACCAGCAAAGGCCGGGTGGCAACGCTCAGGAGCCTCTGTGGGCCACACAAGGCCTCAACACAGATAACGGCAATGCTTGGGATACCTTGCAGATGCCTCCACAGCACGTTCCAGAAATGCGGCAACCCCAGTTGCCAATGCCCCAGCGACAACAGGCGCTGCCCTCGAGGACGGTCAACCATGCCGACTACTACGAGCAGTATCGCCTTGCGGAGGAGCAAGGCAGCTCTCACAATCATAACGGACCTGTGGGCCATCATCCTCAGCAACCGGAAGCTGTTCACATGCAAAATGACCCTCGCGCGGGCTACTTGCCATCTCAGATTCCTCCTTCAAACCCTCCTCAGCCCCTCCAAGATTTCCAAATGCACCCACGGTATCCGGAACAGTCGAACAGACTCCCGATGCCAGGCCCCTCATTCCCTGCGCCTCAAGAGGTTCACGTTATCCAGAGCAGCCGCCCCGCATCCCGGCCATCATATCCCCTTCCGTCGAGCTCTTATAGCCCGGTACAGGAAGGCAGCTTGCCTTCGACTTCACAAAGTCAACAGCCAAGACGTAGCCCGCGTCCTGACGATTCTCGCCCTTCGAGCACACGCGGAACGCCAGTCATGGCTCGCCGAGCACCAGCTCAACCCGTTCATACGTTTACGCCGAGTGTAATCATCGATTCCTTCCGACAGAGCACACAAGCTCACATAGGCTCCTTGGAGAGCCATTGTGAGCAACTACAGCAAAGCCAAGCCAGCGATGACCAACTTCGTCAAGCAAACGAGTCGCTTCAAGCTGCTCGACGAAACAACGAGGAGTCTTTGCAGCTCCTCGGCCTGCTTCAGCCGATCACTGGTATCCCTTTGAAGGGCACAGAGAAGAGGCTTCAGTCAATCGCTGATCAGATTGTCGATGCAATCAAGAGTCTGCTTCCCGACGGCAGCGATGTTTCTGACAAGACGATCGAAAAGTTGGACCAAAAAGTACAAAGCCTCAAGGAGTTCATCGAGTACGTTGAGGGAGTTCACCCTGAGGTGGTCAAGCGCGCGCAAGACCCCGCGACAGCATCTACAGACAAGAGCCAGACTGTCCCAGTTACGACTGCGAACCGAGTCCCCTCGGCTCCCGCATCCGTTTCTTCTCACACTGCGGATGAGTCTGACTCCTGTCGCTGGGTAGACGGCCAGGCTACACCCCCGCCGGACCGATCCGCAGCAATGGCCTTGAACCGAGACCGATCCCGCATGTTCCGGGACATGACTGCTGCCCATGGCCGTCGTCCCGAGCCGCGCATCAATACTGCTCCAGAGTACTATGCTCCCACCAGCTACAGCCAGCCGTCATCCCGGATTCATTCGCCGCTGGCCACCCATTCTGCGCCCGCCGAGCCTCCACACGCGGCTGGCCACGGTTTCTTCCAACAGCCTCTTCCGACACAGATCCAGCAGACGATGCCCATCACCGAATTCGGGGCCCCGATGCAGGATCGAACGATGCACGCTTACCCGCCTCCCACCTCGGTCGAAATGATGCGGCCGATGCAGCCCGTGTCGAGCCTCCCACCTCAGCACTACACGACGCATCAAGAAAGCAACTTCTACCTGCGACCACCGCCACCAAACTGCCTGTACCCAACGACAGGAGCCGAGATGGCCCAGGCTGCCTACGCTCCGCGGTCGCCAGTGGCTTTTCAGCCTGGCCCGGGTCCAGCGCAGAGCAACTACTACCAGGACATGCGATCTGCTCTTCCGGACCGGCGAACGGTCCGCCAGGAGCGCCCCGCTCCTTACTCCCTCAACTATAGGGATCAAAGGCGACGACGAGGAAGCCAGTGATGGGCACCTCCGATTTCACACGAAACATTTTACACACGTATATAGATTGGTTCCTGGTTGGCTCTTGTCTCTTTGGCTATTCGACTGTGTCGATGGTTCTCCTTTTTCTGTTTATCATCCTGGTTCAAGCTAGCGAGCATCTGATATCCTGCATATTGTTATGGCGAGGCGTTCTCGGAGCGAGATCGATTGTTTCCCCGGAGCGGACTAGCTGCTGGAAGATGTGGCGATGACCAAAAATCATCTCAAACATCGCAGCCCTTTAATTTCTAACTACTAAGCATATTTCGAAATATTACGAAGCTGTTTGTTGTTTCAAAGGGAGGCGGAGAAGGTGACGGGACATTGGGTATACGAAAGACAATGTTCACGTTGATGAAGAAAACTGGTTGATATGGGTTTACTCGGGGTTGGTCATGTAAAAAGTTTTTGATGTTTATAGAATGAATGACACAATACTGAACCGATAAGTCGACTTCTCTTACAATCATCTGGTGATTTGGTATCCCCCGACTGACATGATCAAGACGTGGCAAACCACACCACCCGACCGCCGACCTCCTCAGGCTCCGAGGCGCCAAGACAGGCCACTCTTCACATGCACAACCACCGAACCGGCCGGCGGAAAGATAGCAAGTAAAGCAGGTGAACAGTTTTCGATCGTCTACCGAACCGGGGGGTTCTCGGTGGCCTAGCACGGGCCTCGCCACCCCCATCCGGGGTTAATCTGCTCCACTTAGCGGGAAGCCGGGATCTGCCCGGCTACGACAGCAACTGACGCAAGCTAGCGACCCGAATCGGTATATCGTCCGGTCGCCGAGCTTTCTCTGACTACAGCCGAAATCGAACGTCCCGCCTCTTTCTGACGTTTCGCAGGAACCCAGGAAGTTAGGAGAGGGGAAGGGGGAAAAGAGAAGGAATTCGGGCCAGTGATTTGTTGGCCGCCTTGGAACGACCACTTGGACAATTCATGCCTCGGCAGGATCGCTACTTAGCGTGCCAAGGGGGGATGCTCATGCATACACGTTCGGTCTCCGTTGAAGACAAGTGAAGATCAGTGGATTGTGTGGACCCCTCTTTCTCTCTACCTATTCACTAGGGGCTACGTGTTTCCCGTCCCCTAACCTTTCCTTCTGTCGGTGAATAGATTGACGACGTGTTCTTTTCGGATGTCTAGCTTCATCTACCCCGTTGGCTTGATTCGATAGGTAGAATAGGAGCCCTGAAGACGATGAATGTGGTTTCCACCCCCGCAGAGGGGGTCCATACGGAGAATTCATCCTCCTATGCGGAGGTGGCCTTCTGAGGCCGGGGAAAGGCCGGGGAACGGACGGGGACGGACGGGGGGTCCTGGCTCCGCCTCCTTTCATCGGGCATGATGAGACGTCGATGGGTGCGCCGAGGCATAGACGGCGGTGACTTCCCGTGTTGGAAAGGACCGAAATCCCGGACGCCTATATAAAGACTCGAGAAATTCTACTACGTTGCTCACGGGAGAATATTCTACACGGAGACGTTTCAGCGGCTAGCCTTGAATCATCAAACACCAAACCCAACAAATCAGACTTCAAGACCTTTGAATAGCAAACACACACAACCATGGCCATCACCAGAATCGGACTCATTGCGCTCGCAGACGGCCCTGGACAAGATGAGGCGGTGAAGAGGTTCAGTAACTTTGTCAATGACTGCAAAAAGGTAAGTCCCATACTTGGATCTACCCATCATGGAAAAATCTGAGGCGACATGTTTGGCTAACTTTGTGTTTTTTCTTCGGTATCATTAGGAGGATGGCTCAACATACCTCGTCGCCTCAAAGGCTAGCAAGTGCAAGGTTCTGACCGACGTCCCGGGATCCCAGGCATGGTCCGTCGTTTACGAGATTACGTTTGCCAGTGAAGCGTGAGTACCTGTCTCCCCGGTCTTCCTTCTTGACGGAAATGCAAACTTGTCGCTAAACGACGACGTTGGTGACTAGGGATATGGAGTACTACCAGACCAAAGACCCAATCTACCAAGAGCTCATGAAGCAGGCTGCCGAGGGCAAGGCGACAGGCTTCATTGCTGTGTCTGCAGAGTTCTAGATGCTGGTCGTACAGATATCCAAATGAATTTCAACATGAGTTTATGAAGTATCGCTTTTCTATTCAATCATCCATTCATTCATTGCTATGACGGCAGAAAGGCCCTAGGTATTCAACATGGCCTAGCATGTCCTTTTCCTTCCAGAAAATTGAAGGTTTTGTCCCATCTTGAGAATTTGCTTACGATTCCGCATCGACAACATGAAATTGGCCATGAAACGATACTCTACCGCAGAAATAGAAAGAGGATCTCTGAGCATGTCATCCAGCATAGTTGCACGCCCCAGCTAGCTGCCATGGAGGGGCAGTAGGAAACATCAGTCGACTTAAAGGCTACTTAAAATTAAGACCTCTGACCCTTGGAGAACCCAAGGCTCACAGTTATAAAACCTACAACGTCATAACCTGAGGCAGCCCGGGATCCGATATATTGCCTTCCCGAAGTCTCGGTTCTCGGTAAGAGGTTGCCACCACAAACTCATTCTAGCACTCTCACAACGTATTTACAGTTCTATGACGTGCCTCGCCGCTATTTACAACTTTCATCGCAATCAGCAGCCGTGTTCCTCTCTGTCATGCTCCAGTATAGTCGTAGGCGAAGCAGATTAGTCCCATGAAATGGACTTTGACATCCAATCATGCAGAATACTGGCCAGGCCGATGCCTAGATTCTATAACGCTTATTGCTGGCATTCTGTCTAGACAGGAAACCATCATTGGGAGCAAGGGCATATGGCTTCGATGATGACTGTACTCGCGGTAATGCCCGCGCCGTCTTCTCGTCAATGCTTAGCAAGTTCAAATGATCCCTCTACCGAAGTTTGGGATATCGATGCAGCCCTGGCAGAGACGCGCCAGTGTCATCACCGTCATAGGGTAACCAAACCCTTTTGCTTTTGGAGAATTTAATGAGTAGATGGAATACAAAGAACCTGATATGTGTGAAAGACACGTGCTTACCGATAGTTACTCTGAACTAAAGATGCGACGGACTTGGTGTCTCGATAATATCGAATTGATCACCTTCCCGGAGCGTTTGTCAAAAATGATACAATACTTCTCTCACTTTACAATAGTCAAAGCGACAAGGCGAAGTTATGATATGGGTCGTCTCTCTTGCTCTAGACAATATGAAGCTGAGAATCATACCCGACATCTTGACGTCAAAGGGGCATCGGAGAAGCTCAGAACGTCTAGATCCATCTATAGCTGATAATCATCATCATCATCATCATCATCACCCCGATTTGGAATGTCGACAGAGTAGAATGCCTTGTAAACCATCAAACTATCTTCTCGAGTAACAATCACGCATGAAAATCCAGCTACCATCATCAGAGCCTAGACATGGCCATCCATGACAAGGCCAAGAAGGCCAAGAGATATAGCAAAGCCACTTCAACCCCACTTTCCTTTCTTCAGCCCTCAACGCAAAATTCCTTGGGTAGCAATCCCAAAGGGGGAGGGGGGGCGAGACGTCGTACAAACAAAACCTCGAATGCAAGCTTAAGGCATCAACGCCCCGAGATCTAGACCTCATTTCCCCTTCCAGCTTCACCATATCCAACTCCAACCCCCTCCAGCCCCCTCCACCGGGAACAGCCCATCACCACGAAGTCTCTGCCAGAAAACAAGGCCCTTGAGGAAATCGACGCAAAGAGCCGACGTACGGGAAGCGTCGTCATTGAACAGTACACCCACCCGTTGCCCGTCATCCGAAGTAGAATGAGAAACGCAAACGTCCGTCATTTCATCTCATGGCCAAAGGCCGGTCTTCACCGGCCTTCCGCGGAGAAAACACCGTTCGCCTGGCCTCTTCTTCCCATCACTTGCACCACCCGCAACAAAAAACAGCCATCATCACAACTACCAAGAGAAACTTCAGCTAAATAGAGATAGATACGTACGAGTCAAACTGGTAGAGGTATCGTCAAGTATTTTCATATTCTTCACCAGCCTCAGCGAACTTTCTGAACAAGAAGGAAAAAACCTTCAACATGACGGTAATGCAGAATAAGAGTCATTCCGCCTCATCAACAACGACAAGAGACGCGGTATAGGGTTGGGAGGGTGGATGCTGTCGGTATTTCGAAGCAAAAGCACCAGACGATAGAGTTACAAAACAAACGCGAATAGTGAGAACTCGAATAACCTGCCTCGCCAACAACAGCCCCAAACCATCGCAATCCCGCCGGAGGGATACCTGTCTACGTAGTACCTACCTTACTCACGGACCAAACTCACCTTACCTAACTAACCCCCTTTCAAAAGGTCAAGGTTAAAAGACAGCCGAGGTCTTGGAACCAAAAACAGTAATCGATTCGTCGCCGACAACAACACACAGACATCGCCGTTCAGCAAACGCGTTAAACAGCAGCCATGACGATCCAAATAAACATTCACACACCCCAGCCATCAACATTTAGCGCTGCTCTGACTTACGACGAACCTTCAATCTTCGATCAAAATTACAGTTGTCAGTTTGTTTAGTGAACAGCCGAGCAGTTCATGCCCTCCCCCCCCCTCCTTTCCCTTCCCCAATCTCTCATCTCGGACTTGGGCCTTCATGAGCCGAGGCCTTAAGGAGTCAAAACGAGGCAACACACACAGATAGAGACAAAAGCTCTAGCCACCTACCTTCTCAACTCTCCTTCCCCTCTAAATGTGACGAACCTTTTCTCCCCCCCTTCTTATCTGTCGTACATAGATACCCTAAACCTCGGTGATTTGAGACGCAGAAAGCTCCCAATTCCGAGGTCCGTCCCAAGTAGATATGTGTATGATTTAGACTTTTCGGTAGCCTCTCTATCCCACCGGCTCCGCGGAGGATCTCCCATCTCCCACCACGCACACACTCGCCGGAGCAACGTGCCCGGACGTGTAAAGAGAAAAGTAATCGCCGACCCGGTCGCCCGCGGGTCTCCGCGCGGGAGTGGTCCCCCGGACATGAAGACGGGCGTCATATCATTTGACGCAGCCGCTTTCCTTGAACACAACTCCGTCGTAAGTGAACACAGGGTATCCTTCGCCCTTGCAATATGTTTTCCGCATGACACTAGACTGTGTTATTCAACATACTTCAGGAAAGAGGGCAACGATTTCCACTAGCTTTAGCAGCATGATATTAGGGGTCCAACATGCAGAACGCTATTGGCCGTGTCTGTGTGTGAATTGTGCGGACAAAAGTATAGCGTGCAGCCGCGGGGACCTCCAAAATAGGTAGATAAGTAGGTTGCCTCGAGGCTGTCAACCCGTCGGGGACGTTGAGCAAGTTCTGCCTGCAAACACTTGTTCGCGAACAGAACGAGTAGAGTTCGGTCCATTGCGGGGTCACCCATGACCATCCGTGCCATTGCGCACGTTCGTGGTAAAACGCAGAGGTTAATCTTGACACTTGCAGCGCTTATGGGCACCACTTCAGGAAAGGATACATTAGACGAATGTACTGGCTTCAGTGATGTTGAGTTTCTGTCTGAGGGCTCGCGAGAATGGTTCTCAAGAAGAAGTCGGGCGCAATGAGACGCCCGAAGATGTCAAATCTCTCAGTCCACTTGTTGGAGCATTTGCCAAATCCAATACACCGATTCCGCCGGTTTCGGCACGAGAAGACGGGCTCTCTTCTGAGACGATCCCGATGAAATTGGCAGGTCGCGCCATCATCCCCGACCGAGTCCCGAACGCATCTCGATCGCAAGACCGGCCACGGCAATAACGGTTCCGGTTGCCAGCCATGCGTTGGCTGTGGTTGCTGCGACGCCAACCCGGGTGCCAGTCACCGCTCTGCCGCTTTCAGATGCCGGGAGAAGACCGGCGTGGGCATCGGCAGGATGCACAGTGGGGGCCCCACTCCTCCGTGACGGCGGGATGACTGATCGGGGTTCATCGTACGACGACTTTTTTGGTTGCAAATCAAGCCGCCCTACCCATCCCCACCGCAAGGAAAATCAACAATGGCCTCCACTGAAAAGATTTTACATTCTCACGACAGTAATACTGGAACGCGCACACCACGGGCGTCCCTCTCGGCATTAGTGGGGCGGACTTTGGTCGGAAGACATTCGGGTAGGTGGTGACGGTTCCCTCGTCTAGACCGCCGTGCGCTTGAGCCGAGGAAGGTGACTAGCATACCGTGGTGAATAAGGGTTTTCATGCCCATCTCTGGGCCTGCCCGGCGATACATTGCCATTCCCGTAGCTCGTGAGGTAATGTCAGCGATGATATTTTTCTGTGGATGGGAGGTTGGTTGCTGCACTGCCTGCTCCAACCAAGGCTGGCACTTTCCAAAGCTCTGATAACGAAATTTGATATCGTGTGGAGTCTAAACGCACTTCGTGATCGCAAATTCGGCATGTTTGACTCGTGCGAATGTGAGCTGCCTTGGCAGCCACCTACTTTTTACTGCTGATGACTGTCAATCAACCGCTAATCGGTTTGTAATGTGACGGAATAGGAAATCAGACTGACACATGATATCTAGCCAGGTACGACAGGAAAAAGCTTGGCAAGCCATTGTTGCAGATCCGAGATCTGCTTCCCACCGTTGCAGCGTTTGACTGACAGGTTGTAGCCTAACTTGACCGAGGTAGAGGCCCATGCGTGCCCTGGTTGATGATGCTTGGAGCTTAGCCAGGCGCGGATGTGTCCACGATAGGGCATCGACCAATGCCTGACTGAGCGAATGATGCTGATATCTAAGGTAGGCAAACGAAACCATATCAGTGCTTGCATGCGAATCGTTCGGGGCGTGTTGCTTGTTGTACTATCGCTTCCAGACCCTTGGCAGATTGGCCCACCTGAAAGAGACCAGTTTCGCTGCCAACTCCTGAGTGACTTCTGTTCTGATGCGACAGGTCTCTTGGAAGTCTTTGCATAGATGCCCATGGAAATCTCAGAATCCATCCGGAGATAGCAACGGGGGTCAGATCCACTCCCCCGAATATTTTGCAGACAGGGGCCGGTGGCGTGACTCGACAGTCAGACCGTTCTTGACTGTCGCCCGGGCGTAGGCGAGTCTGCTCCGCAATCAGCCATTCAGCTGCCTTCCAAACATACCCAGGAAGAACGATTGAGGAACGTTGTAGATCGAGATTCAGGACCCCCCTGGATGCAGAGTCGACCAAGAAAAAGACGATGCAAACAAGGCAGCGGGCTCGCGCATAGAGTCAGTCGGGCCACTTGTCCCGATCATGTCTCAAGCTTTCCGTTCGCCCAAAGAGTCAACCGTAAGTTAACATTGTTGAGAATACTTGCTCCCGTTCGTGAAGATCCACACCACAACGGCCTCAACTTTGGTGCACTTTGTGAATAGGTCCCCCGGGAACGTGGGTACCACCAAAAGACGCCGCTCCGGGACCCGCTGCCGGACGCCAAGACCATATCGGCATCCGTGAATCTTCAATTCCGCAATCCCGCTCGCGAGTGTTCTCGGCCCCGGGATCTATTGTCACCTGCGTAGGTATGCAGCCACAGGAACATAAGGACAGAAAACTTTGTTACTGGCGAACCCCACAAGCCTCGGTTGTTGGAGCACTCAACTTGTTGATTTTGAGTGTGGACAGCGCGATCATGCGCCCCGACAATCCACCAGGGACGGGAAGACGTGCAACCCCGGTGCGTATCAGCTTTCAGATGGCGGTGCTGCATACGTCGTTCGGTACCCACGAGCTTGTCCTGGATGATGCGGAATCACCAGAGGAGGGGCCCCATGGGAAGGGAAGCTGCCTAGCCTGATGATGGTTCTTCAGCTTCTGAGCCGGCGTTCAGCATCTGGAATCCACGACCCGTCCGAAATCTCAAGTTTGTGCGTTGTCAAGGTAGGTCTAGATACGGGCCGAGGGGTGAGACCAAAGACTGGAAACGTTCCGCCAGTATGCATAGAGCTCAACGCTTTAGCTAGAGTTTGGTGCTTAGATGACGTCGCTTGCATCCCAACTTCCTCTAGACACAAAGGGGAAGCATTGTGCATGTCATCGTGGCATGATAGTCTAGTTTGCCGGCTGCCATTTTCAAGACGCGAGGCTGCCTGCCCAGCTTCGATTTGGAAGCCTCGATACGTTGAGGGGGCTCGATTGGAAATCCTTCAGACCGACAAAGGTCGAGAACCGACACCAAATCAAAGTAGGGATCGCGTGGCGGGACAGCTCCAACGCCGCGCCGACAAGCAATGAGGCTCCAATGCGACCACACGTCATGCAACCAGTTTTGGTGGAGTTGAGCCTCGGCCGAACTGGAAATTAGCAGAGGCCGAAGTCCGCTTCTGAGCAGAAGCGTACCGATGGCCCTATGAACGCTCAGAGAAGCTGATAGGGCGGATGGCGCCTAGAAGACAGCGGGTACAGGGGCAGAAAAATCAGTGGTCTATCCGATGCTGATGATATCCCTGTTTCAGAACCTGGTGTGTAGGAGATGGTAGCAACCAAAAACGCATGTAGAGCCATGTACCATCCCCAGCCCGCGTCCAGGTGCGTTGGTATCACGATGGCGGGGAGAGGAGGCGAATAGTCTAAGTGAGCCATTTTCAAGATTCCGGCTTCTCCCTTAGGCCCTTGATAAAAGACCCTGAAAGAAATGATTTAGGGGGTCATGAGGAGGTATCCGCGGGACGGGGACCAGGGGATCCCAAAGCTTTGGATCCCGATCTCGTGATGGATGGAGAGGGAAGTTTCGATGTCGCGGATTCACACTATCTGTACCGGATGGCAGATTTGCGGCGCAGCCAGCAGACCGGGTTCAACGTGTCTGGATCGTAAACGGTAGGAGAAAAAATAAAATAGGACGGCCAGGGTTTGGGGTCGCTGTTTTGTCGGTGGTTGAGAGTCTAAGTCGGAGGCCGAAAGGCCGCTTTCGTTGCCGAGAGGTGGCTGTTGCTGGGCTTTGGCGGATGCAATTGGCTTATGATCGGCCCAGGATCGCCCGGGATAACTTTATGAAAGCTAATGCAGACCAGACGGGGAGCGGGAGGCATCCGCTGGCTTGGGCGGACTGCGCTACCTGGCGGATACTGATCCGAGCCAACCCTACTGTAGGGTGGTAGTGTGGTGTAGTGTAGGTAGTCCCGTGCTACGGATTGGGTGTGGCGGACTTAAGATTGTTGATAACATGTTGGCCTTGATGACAGCGGGCAGTTTGCGGCGTCATCATCAACAGACCAGATGGGCACGATTCAGGAGAAACAGGACGATCGTTGCCTTGTCAAGGTTCTGGGTTGATTTGACGACGCAAACGGGCGCGCGTTGATGAAGAATCATACCTCGGAAGCAAGCAGACGTTCGACAGCGGACCGTGCTGTGCTGAGCTGAAGTTGACCGGAGTAATTTCATGGAGAGAAACACCATACCGACGCGGTTCCCGGGCGGAATTCAACGGCGGAGGAAATTCCCGATGGTCATGCGCCGTGAAGAAGCTGCACGAAGATAAACAAAGATTGAGATTCTGGAAGATGATGCATGGAGATGGATGGTAGTTTCGATGGGGACAGGATGGGACTGTAGAGGTACTCGGAGAATACAGCCTAGGATTGAACCTACTCGAAAACGGTACGTGCAGGATCAGTGTGGAAGTGCAGCTGCGCGTGTGAACGGCACTTTCCTGAATGAGGTCAAGTGGATGCGGCACTTGACAGCAGTGTTGCCGATTAGTCAGTTGGGCCAGGATCGATCCCCACTAAGCCGTATAGAGACGCGGAGATGACCCATCGGCATTTGTGCGGTGGAGGGAAAGAACCGTCTTCTAGAAAAATTCGACAGTCCCACGATTAGTTCCACCTCGTCGTTATGAAAGGGGGGGGGGGGGACGCGAGCGAGGATGAGATCACGACCGACGGGCAATGTTCCGCTCTTTGGGTGGTGATTCCGCTGCACTGCACGTTTTGTGTTTTGTAGCGTCCACGAAATGGGGTTTATTGGAAAAAAGGTAGGTATCTCCTAGCACGATGGTGGGTGGGATGCGGCTGCTACTGTTTTTTTCCGTACTCCGTACTACCAAGTAGTACCTAAGCACCTAAGGTAGTTTCTCGATGTTGTGTAATCAATGGCTAGGATGATTGGCTGTCTCTTCTTCAAACCATCCATCCCACCCAGTCCGGCGATTAACTAAGCTTTTTCTGCTCCTCCGCCGTGAGATTTCTAATTCATCCCATGTCAAAGCCGATTGGAGTCGGCGACGGCGTCAGCCACAGACCGATGAGACAGAGCCCGCTGTTGGCTGTTTATTACCGCCGCCCACGAGGTGGTGTTGAAATTTCGCTGTGGTTTCTTTGTAGTTACCTAGGATACTCCCTGATCGTGCCACCACGACATCGACTTCAGAGGTAAATGTCAGCTTCATTGGATTTGAAGCTGTGCTTCTCTTTGAGGATACTATCCCAGTCGAACCCTGATGGCTCGGTTTACCAAGGGCGCGGCCCACGGCAACAGGTGTGTCAAGTCCGATCGCGATGAGCTAGGTAACCGGCCGGATGGCCTGCTATGGTATAGTTGGTGAACGAGAAATCACGTAGGCAATACTATATATGTGGTAGACCCGAACGTGATTGTCGGTAAGCAACCACTTACACGGAGATGTTATCTCCGCTCCGTGGATCTATGCCCCAGGTCCGATCGACATGGGGGAACGGAAGACAACACAATGATGCTAACGTTACGTGTAGTCACCATAACATGCCTGACGGGAGCAACTGTCTCACCCCCCGGAGACAGCCCATAGCCATGCAGTGTTCCAACGAGTAAGGAATCCAGCCTCATGATTGGTGGGTTGTCTAAGGTAGATGAGTCACAACGGGCATGCCATGCGGTTATAGTGACTGAGTAACGGACGTGGGTGAGAAGAAAGAGTTGCAGAAAAACTACCTTGAGTGCTCAGCAGAATTGATAGTTGTGAGGGGCATGTCCACTATTTCGTTGAAAGCATCCACCGCGCTTGTGGTCATAGGAAGGAAGAATCTGCCAGTTAAATCCGGCGGGAATACCTCGCCGATTACATGAGCGTTATCTACAGTACCTTAGGTAGGTACCTTAGTCCGGACTTGGTCCACCAAAGACCCACCTCTGCACACCTCTACCTCAAGTGGGACACACTGATGCGTGCCTGATCCTCCTCCCCGGCCTGTTGGCACCCACGCACCACACACCACGCACCCACGCAGCGTACCTCTTCCACGCCCGCGGTTGTTTCCCGCTTTGCATCTCCACGACAAAGTAGCCTAATTTTGCCCTAGCTGTCGGTTTACCCTAGGCACCTGGGGGCTTTTGGTCCGGGCAAAAAGGATCTCCATTGCTTATTCTCGCCCTCCTCCGCCCGGGCACCGTTTCGGGAACCGATACGGCCAGCCTCACAAGAGCATGGGACCGACAGCTTGGACGCAGCCACACCGCACATGAGGTGGTGACGAGGTGACGAGACAGCATCTCGTACTCGTACGGATACCGATGCAGCTACCCCAGATGAGAACGACGTCCTGCGTTTCTGTACTCAGCCCACACTCCCAAGCCAACTGAGAAGGACGGACTAGGCATTCACACATGGAAGCTTCGATCCTTAGCACACGGGCCAGGGCTGGAACAACATGGCAGCTGGAGCAAAGACGCAGGGAAGTAAGCAAGTGGGTGTCAGCCCTCCACCGCCCACGTTCTCAGACATCAGAAAACACCCAAAGATACCAGGAGCAAGGATCCCAAGAAGGAAGCAGCCACGGTGTAGCTCACTCGAATGGGCGGTGGCGGGTGAGGGTTATGGGGGCTTGAGGTAGCTGCCTCCAACAGACGTTTGGTTCTCACATTCCACTTGGAAGGGATGGACCATGGTAACCACTACTGATACCAGTCTATCTACCTACCACCACCACTCTCGTGGCTATCCTTTGGGTCAGTCTGATGCATTGTAACTTGATCCGCCTCAAGCCCATCATCATTACTGCATCTTACCATCGCCGACCATCTTCGCATGAATCTGGACCGCATGCCGACGCCTAACAGCTCAAGCTCAAACCACCCCTTGGTCACCTCGAGCTGGCCTTGCGAGCCTCTGCTCCGTGCGGCACAGAGTAGACCTTTACACCTCTCTCGACTCTCGAGTCCATCCTCACGGCACTGTGCCTCACGAGACCTGTCTTGGCGGCTTGTCAATGGTTGACCGTGAACCTACTTACCACCGGCGGAGGAGCGGGCCACAAAGCGGCCTCGCTACCTTGAATCTTGTCCGTGCTCCGCAATCTCTCCGCGCACCATCGGCGAATAGGCTGTCACCCTCCGTTCCAACTCCCAACTTTCTCCTCATCGCCGCCGGACTTTCGTAGCAGTCTTCCTACCCGACCCTTTCTTTTACGATCGATCAGCAAAAAAACCATTGGCTCCGCCTGCCGCCGTGGGAGTGGCAAGCGGCCGAGGCATGCTCGGCAGGGAAACATCATCGCGGCTCTTAATCGTTGACTTTGAAATAAAGTTTGCTGCTCGAAACTACACGCCATGACGTCTTTACACTCTTTACACCCTCGGACGGTGTCATGGTATCAGACGGGTTTGATGGTGGACTCAATCCCACTGCACGCTCCCGCCGCACAGAGTGTTGCGCTGGCCAGAAGTTTGGCCTGAAGTATCTCTTCTTGCTGCCGTCAGTCGACCTTGAACGACTTGCCTTAAGCTGCACCGCCTGTGAGCTCCCACAGAGTTCGCGGTCAGGTACTACCTGCCTTCTATGCAGCCCCCCGAAGCATCGTCAACCTCGGCCGACTGGTAGCTACCGCTCTTGGCGCATATCAGACTTTGGCACACACCGACAGCATGGGATCTTTCACCATGGAATGAATTAGGATGACACAAAAGTCCGCCCGCGGCGACCATCCCACACGAGGCTGTCGGCACCGTTGGCCTCAAAGAGGAAGTCCCTGCATGGATGGGAGCTCGAACGTCTTCTCCTGTCTGTTCTCCGAACCTGTCCCGCAGGCATTCGACTCTTTAACTGACACGCTCGAGCCCTATCGACAAGGGACGTTCTTGCACCTTACAAAGATGAGCTAGTTTCTCCCGGCGGCACCTCGTCAATTACCCGTCGGGCATACAAGAGCCGTTGGATCGATTTAGGCCCCGGATAGGAGAACAGGAGAGCATTGAGACCGTGTGAGTGCCTGTAAGGCGTAGGTATCTGGGCAATGCGACAAATTTGGACAGATTTTGGCCCAGCCCAATGGTTATGGCCATCATGATTCATCGACCCTGGCACCCTGTTGATTTGACCAAATTGGCATTCCCACTCAGGGACCGACCAGGCATAGCAATGCCAGTTGGCAGGCTCGGTCTCTGGCGTCATCAATTCAGTCATGCCTTGTCGTCTTGTCTCCATTCGAGTCCAGAACCTCTCGAGGGTCGTACAGCATGGCGGCTCCGAGCTACTGATCTAGAGCAGTAGAGTCGCGGTATCGTCGATGATGAACGCGCAGCAAAAGTCAAGACCCCGCCCTCGGCGCCGGCCTCGTCAACAGGCCGGAGTCTTGGCATACGGGGTTGCAGTTCACCCTGATCGCCCCGTCAGCGGCCCCGTCAGATTCCGCCGCATGCACAAATCGAGAAATTTAGAATTATGAGCAACGCGATGTTGGTCATCGGACTCACTGCATTGAACCTTGACCAGGTGTCGTGCTCGATGGTGTCCGCGGCTCAGCGATGTTGGCATGGTGCGGCGCAACGGAAGATACATAGCTACATGTCCACACCAAAAACGGCCAGATCATATCTACGGTTACACAGTAAGACAGAGACAAGAGATGCTGGGGTCAACATGGCCTCACCGTCCCGAACGGACGGGTGGGGTTGCAAACAGAGAGCAAGTAAGACAAAAGCACACTCAAAAGAGAGAGACAGGATAGACCGGTTGGTTCTTTTCCGTCAGTCTCGGAGCGATTTGTCTGCCTGGGTGTGTGTCTCTCGCGTGTCTTCGTCGACCATCTCGTTCCATTCCTTGGGCCCATCACCCATGCAGAGCTTACTCAGGTTCGGGGACTTGTGAACCTCCACTCCCGAAGTCTCTGGAGGTACCGATCAGTCACAGTCACAGGAGCGGACCCGCTCACCCTGCCTTACCTACCCCTTGAAAGTTGACAGCAACATTACGGGCCTTGTCCTCGCGCAACCCACTTTCATGAGGCGCACACTCGGCTTGGTTCCTACCAAGTAGCGTTCCGTTCACGATTTGTCGAGTGTTCCCCGAGGCAAATGGTCCAGACTCGGCCCATGCCAACATACTGGCAGCATCATGTCATATTTTGTTCATGACCAAGCCTCATTGCTTGGAAAGATTCCATCTCTTGCTCCCGGCAGAGTTGTGGGTGACCCTGCTTGCTGGATATAAGATGTGGTCGGCTGTTCCGTCTGATTGGGATCCCCCTACACCGGAGTCAGAAGCTATTCATGTTTCGAATCGGGGACCTTGGTCAACATCACAGTTCTAACTCCGCCGACCTGACGTCGATACATACTCTACATACCTTCAGCTTCAGTGATCTGATGTAAAGGATTCTTTCTTATAAGGACCATCTCGACCCGGAAACATTTCATTGATCCAGACTGTTTCTTACCTCCAAGGCAACAGCATTACCTCTTGTCGAAATAAGAACCCCTAAGTCTTATCTTACACACCAAGATTGAAGAGAATCATATCTTGTTACACCAACAAGCAGCCTAAAAAGACAAACCATCCACCACCACGTCCACACATCCTCTCCCGCATCCACCCGCCCGCAAAAGCATCAAGGACTTTGGTGGTGACGAATAAGAGAAAAAAGGGGACCAAGAAGAACGAAAGGCCCCAAGACCCTGGAACAGCACATAGCACACAACAGGCTCGGCAACAAGATCCGCTCGAGACACGTCCGCCATTCTGCAGTCAGCAATCCGCCGTATCAACAGCGGGAAGCAGCAACAAATAAGCCGTGCTTTACACAAGCAGCGACCGGCTTGCAAATCAAATCCCAATCCCTATCCCTATCCCTATCCTCGCCGTCCAGTTCTCTGAACTCCGCAGCGGACTTTACCTTCTCGCGGCTAGCTCCTGGGACCAGAAAGAAAAAAAAAGGCTGCTAGCGCGCTGCTACTACCAGCTACATCCCACAACTTGGCTACGTACCAGACGTACTTTTGATACACGACGGTCACCACACACGTACACTTTCTCTCTCTATTGAGCACAAAACGGAACCAGGATCCTTCTTGAGGCCGTCTCATTTCCATAACTACTGGGCCCGCCCGCGCACTCGGACATAAAGACGTCGCCGACCGTTAATGCCACCCGCAGCAGACCAGGCCAGCAAATCCACACCCATGCCCACGCCTGCACCACCACCTATTCGTAAGAGGTACCTACCTAGTCCTACGAATACCTAACGCACCGCATCCGCACTCGCTCCAGCACCAGCTCCTTCAGCACCAGACTCTCCCCGACAGAACTCCCCTAGTCTGCCCTGCCTGCCCTCCACTGTACCCGTCGTACCGCCGTACTTGCATCGTAAAGGTACGGGGCAAAGTACCGCACCAAAGCAACCAGCATCAGCACCAAGCACCCGCATCGCACACACCCATCCCCCCGGCCTGTCTTGTCCCCCCCCTCCTCTCTCCTCGACCTCCACTGCTTGCTTGCTTGCTTGCTCTGCCCTCCTTAGCATTGCGAGCGACCGAACTCTATCAACCCCAAAAGCTTCCGAGGCCTTTTCCCTGCGCATCACATAATCTCGCGCGCGCACATTAGACGCACCCCGTCTACTCCCCGTCGTCTCCCCGTTGCTGCTCGACATTAATAATTTGTCTACGCCCTCCATCCCAGTACCTTGCCGTGCTTACTGTCCCGCCTTCTTGACCCTAGCGCCGCGGACTCTTGGCTGTGTCATCCCGACTCTTTTACCTTTTTGGTTTATTCTTCCTTTAACTGGGTCGACTTCGTTCTCGCTATCCTATATAGTTCACTTACACGCCTCTCACCTCCGTCACCCGCAGACTTATACGCACTTTGCCCCTCGGTCTACATCAACAGTATCTTCCTCTTTCACACATCGCCACACCTTATCCTTCCTTACTACTCTACAACATCAAATAACTACTATTCACTACCCCAATAACTAGTAATCGTCCACCACCACCACCACCACAATGGGAAGCGGTCTACCCACACCTCCCTTGGAGGATCAAAAATCCAGAAAGAGCTCCTCCAGCTCCAAGTCCATCAAGCCCAACCGCCACACTGCCAAGCGCGCCAGCCCTCACAACGCGACACAACATCACGATCATAGCTCTCAAGCCATGTCTGCCGATGGACGTCACAAGAGAGTATGGAAGGCTTGCGAAAGGTGTCGTATGAAGAAGACCAAGGTAAGCAGCACCACCACACCCAACCTCGTGGTCACTCCCATCCTAACTTGGACTCCACTCAGTGCGACGGAGAATTCCCCTGCAAAAGGTGTAAGGACGATGGTCTCGTCTGCACCGCCGGCGTTCGCAAGAAGACGGAATACAAGCAGCTACCCAGAGGCTACGCCGAGGTTCTCGAGCACACCCAATTCGCCCTCATTGCCACCGTCCACAAGTTGTACTCCATGGTTAGGAACCAACAACAATGGGACCTTGGTGAGCCCGAGCTCAACGATAGAGGACAGCCCGTCATTCACAACATTGCCCAGAAGCTGGGATGTATCCGCCCCAACAGCGATATCGACTTGCCAGTTCACTCGGTGTTCCCCGAGGACGAGGCGGGCTTGGCCGAGTTGGCGCGCCAACTGGAGGAACAGCAAAAGGAACGCGATATTGAGAAGGCCATGAAGGTCGAGGTCGATTCTAACTCAAGTTGCGAGCGTTCAGACCGCGCAAGCTCCTCCGACATCGATCACTCGGAATTCGAGGCCGACTACCGCAAAGCTGTCTTTGGCGGCCACAACAACCCCATGACTATGTCTCCGCAAAGCTTCTCGACCGGATACACTGAGTTCGACGTAGACTCAGTTGCCTCGCCCATCGATCCCACCGCCGCCATGTTCCAGCAAAACCAGTCCCCGCCCATGAACGCTTACCAACAATGGAATATGCCCAGACAATCAGCACCCTCTTCAATGGATCTCGCTCAGCAATTTTTCCAACATCCCGGCGCTCTCACCAACATGGACATGCTCAACCAAGGCCTGATCGAGTCAGAATTCGGTACCATTAAGCCCCACGTTCTGAACTGTCCGAATCCGGAAGTCATGATGGGAATGGGAGACCCGATGATCTACGGAGGCTATGACGGCGAGCCAATGCGACTGTAACCCCATCATTCTAGCCACTGAGCATTTCGAGTACGGATTATGAGTTATAGAGTCGGGGCTTTCGGTCGGGCTACGGCCATCAGGCGCAACAGAAGACACTGGGGTTCATGGGCTTTGCGAACTTGTGGGATTTTTCAATGATACACCGCGAAGGCGTTGCTTTTTCTGGGAAAGGACCACTCCCCACATCTCGCAAGAGAGAAAAAGGCGTATGACGGTTTTTGGGTGGGTTTTATTTATATATTATATGTTTCGGTCTTATTTGGTCAAACTCGGATGAGGTTAATCGCCGCCGTTCAAGGTATTTTGGGGGGGAATAGTGAGCGGGACACAGCCCTTTGTTTTTGGGTAGGGGAGAGAGAAGGGTTTACTAGCATTGAGGCGAACGATTTTTCATGTTACGATGACAACCAAAAAAATCGAAACCATTGCATCAACTTTTTCTGATCATGTCTATTTTGCTTTGCTTGTGTGATTTCCTTTTGGGATGAGCTTGAGAGAAAAAGGTTTGTCTTACCGCCCACCCTTCTTTCACGGAGTTGGGACGAGGACACAAGCTTGCATAAAGCTGAACCGGGGGGGGGGGAAGGGGGAAGATGTCAAAGTACCTCCTCGCCAAGTGTGTACGGAGCATGTAAAAACAGATACACAATACCAACCACTCTTCGAAATCAACAGAACCTTTTTCTTCTTTTTTTCCCTTTCGCGGTCTTTGATCTTGTCTTACAATCCAAATTAGGTAGAATCTGCACAAAACGTCTGTGAGCTTTTTCAAGCTCAGGTCGGCGAATCTAATAAAGTACTCTCCGTACCTCGTCATAAATCATTGTATTTTGCAGCTAGCTGCCGACTGCTCTCCCCCTGCTGTAACCTCACAGGTTTTGACTTCACGCGGTTATTATTGGGGTTGGAGGACGCTGGACTATGGAAGCATGACGCTACAAAAAGACGGTGACAAGACTCTAAATGTTTACCTCGAGACTGTCTCACACTCTACTATGCTGTACAACCTACCTGATCCCCGGAAATGGACGAACTGCTACCAAAATTTCCTCCTCTGGACGATTGGAATCGGCGACGGCATGCTACGCTACCGTATCAGCGGGCACCCTGCGGCCCTGCCTGCCCAGTGCCCGCCCGGCTTACACTCTCCTAGTTTCTACGTATGCCCGTAGCCCAGAGAAAATCTTAAAGAGGACCTGGTGGTTTTTTTTGTTTTTTTTTGGCTTACCAGGAGCCAGCTCCGTCGGCCAAGTCAGGCCCCCCCCCCCAATTTGCCCTGTGAGCATGCCAATTTGTTGCTCTCAGGGTTACCAACGCTGCGACCGACGCCCCGGAGGGTTTGGAGCGAATGCGACGCTCAGAGTTGCCAAGGGGATGAGCCACGGGGTCTCCACGTCACGACTTATAATTCTCTCCAGGGGGGGGAAGGTCGGCGGCGGAGGAAGGTAAAAGGTCGTTCCTCGCCGCCGCCGAAGGAGACGGACGAACTTCAATAAGACAGTTGCAGGGCCTAGAATTCCGCAGGGAGACAACTGTCAGAAGCCTGTCGCGCTGTTCTAGTCAGTGTCACATCAGGTAGTAGTCATTGGGAGATGAAGATGGCCTCACCGTACCCATCGGCGACCTTCCCAGCAAGCTCCTAACACGATTGCGGCCTGCAAAATTCCCAACGCGACGTGATACTTTCTTCAAGCTTCTGATGGCCCCCACTTGGTGATTTGATCGACCGTACAGCTCAGCAGCCGTGCCAGCATCTCTCATGAGATTTGGGGGCCGAAATGACAGCGATGGTGCAACATGGCATGACTAGACAAAGCTCCCATGTTGCTAAACGTAGACTGCCGACCTCCTTTTCGTTTCCTGCCATGTGAAATGAGCCGCTTGCTGATCCTATATCGCATCACCACACGCAACGATCAACAGATTCGAATCGGCGCGGACCAAACGAATCTTCCAAGTCCGCCGAGAAGGCGGGCGAGCAGTCGGTCAGGCGTCGTCACGCCCCTCATCTCTAAGCCACTTGGTAGAGTCTTGGTCAATTCTGGTTCTGGACAAAGGTCCCCCTGGAGCATCCGTGATCCTTGTTGGTCGATCAAGGGGTGACAGGGGGAGGGTGTGTGGTTGCGCCAGCAGTTGTCGATGGTTCTGCATCTGCGGCGGCGGGCTGGTAAGTGGCAGGGCGCAAAAGCCAATGGTCTGCGCAAAGACACACCCAATGCACATACCGCACACCCTCAGATTGTAGTATAGACGCGGAACCGATTCTGGCGGGTAAAGGCTTACTGGTGTAGGTAGGATAAGGATGGAGCAGGGTTGCTCCCACGAGAAACAAGCAGAGACAAGTGAGAAAAAAAAACTTTCCAAAACACACGACGAAAAACCATCTGAGTGCGTCCGCCCTACGATCTCCTTCGATCCCAAGAGTCCACGCCGCGGCGACCCACAGTGCATGTTCCACTAAACGCGGGAAGCTCAGGGCGCTGTTCATGCGATGATGCTGCGTTTGGAAATACCAGGCGGGCTATAGCGCGGGTCGAGGGGTGATTCAGGTTGACCGTTAAACAACGTTGCTGTTTATTGTGCATCACATACTCCGTACGGATAGTGCATATTGTTATTACGGAGTATGGCACTTTGCGCGCCAGAGAGGGGGGCGCTAAGTGGTTGGAAATCGAATTATGATCTCGGCGTTTGTGACGGAGGGCGGGACGGGAAGTTGTAAACCCCGCGGTCCGACAGTGGATGACCCATGATGAGTCGATATTTTTTTTTATGAAGAACTAGTTCCATCATCTTTGTTCGGGTCCGAAGATTGAGTGAGGTGGACATTTGTTTTGCTTCTCTCTTCTGGTCCAGGTAAGCCCGGGGGGGGGGGGGGATTTTGCTGTCCATCCACGGACATCAAACATGGCCGATGACAATGTCTGAAGGGGCTCGGGCAGGTGTTGGCAATGACACCTTGTGAGTTCACATGTTGGGCTGGGCGGATTGTCTGAGTTGGGCTGACGATGCTGGGGAAACCCTGGTTGCTGGCTTGGGCGTTGCTATGGCCCTTGGGGTGGTTCAAGGCGCTTTGTCAGCGGGCCGTTTTGGCTTTTCAATAGACCAGACCTTTCTCTATTCAGGACAGCAGGAAACAAGCCTGTACGAAAGTTTCCGTCGACTTTCAGTGGTGGACATGATCGACTGCCGTCAAAGTAGACTGCCCAACATGGGAAGCTTGTACAATGGTTGAGGCCCAGGGCCAGGCCTTGGGTGGGACACGTTGTAAATCCCCTCTCATCTGCGCTGAGGAGAGCAGAAAGCAGTAGGTGTTTCCGTACGGATCGGAGCAAAGCGAGGACGAGAAGCCTCTCGGCCGCAGATTTCGGGTTTCTCGCATTCGGGTTTCCTCCTCTAGACTTTTCTCCCCTCAGTCTTTGACACTTCTATCGACGTGCAGACTAAAAGTGTGTCCATAGTCCGTACGGGACGGGGGCATCCATTGCCTGGCAGAGTCCAGGACTCCAGGCGGTAAGAAAGCTCCGCTGTCAGAGAAGGCCGAAACGCAGTGATGCGGGATGTTGGCTGTTCCAGTAAAATTGTTCCCTCCTTTTCTGTCCTTCTCGACTTGTTCTTTTCTTTGCTCCATACGCAAGCAGCCAGTCGGACTGCAACACTGTCTCGCCCCGTCCCACTCTGTCCACATCGTCGGGATCGGAGAGAAATGGGTACTTCGTACGGGCTGTTGATGACCAACCGTCAACGTGGTTGGTGGTCCCTTGACAAGGGGTCCCGTATTTTAGGCAGGTGATCGTAGAGGATCGGCCGCTTGTAGTTGAAATTATGAAATGAACGCGGCTTTTGTGCAAGCCTCGGCAGCTCGCGGTGCCGAGCTGGGGGGTCCATCGGACCCTAGTGCATATATACGCCGTATCACCATAGCCGTCATCGCCGTCGTAGAGCGGCCGGGGTGTGGAGGGCCGCCGAGGGCTTTCAATCTGCGCAATACCCGTCGGTTTGGACCCGTCCAGTTGGGGGGTCTTTTAGGGTTCGAGGTGAAGAACATGATGTTGGGCAGATTTGGGGGGCAGAAACACGGAGAAAATCTCTGCGCCCAGTCCATTGGTATTTTGGAATAAGGCGCGCTTGTTTGCAGAATGCAAAATGGATATGTGTTTGATTGGCGCTTGTCTTGGCTTGCTTGGTATTCTTGGAAACGCAGCCCGCGGGCTCGGGGCGCCGGTGCGTGACGATGGCCGAGTGCCAGAGAGTCGGTGTCCTCTGGGGTCCTTGTCTAACAGCAGCTTGGCATCAAATTCCGCCCGGCGAGGAGTCAGGACTTAGGACACGTCTTTGAATACCTAGGTTGGCATCTGCGACCGCCCAGTCAGTAGGGAGTACCAACCGTCAATCAGCCAACACTCAACGGCAGCCATTGACGACGGCGGAGTATCCGTCAAGGTACCCGTAATACCGTATGGCCACTATGGTGTACTCCGTACGCCGTCGGAATTTACTCGTAAGGTCCAAATAGTAAAGGGGTTGTGGCGGGTGGTTGCGGGAGTGCACGTGGACTGCGTTTTCCCGGGTGGTTTTCTTCACGCGTACATTGACCAAGGAATCAAGGATCTGTAAGGGCCGCATTTCGCATTTCGCATTTCGCATTTCGCATCTTGTCTCCACGTCAAATCCGGTGTCGTGTGCATGCGTTGCCGTAGTGTACGCAGTAGTGTAGTCGCTGCCTGGCGGGGTCTTGTTTGTTGATGTTGATAGGTAGACGATCCGATGGGCTGATGAAGTTCTGAAGTTGTGATGGAGGGTTGATGGCAGGTTGACTTCGCAGGTGCGGATGTTCCTCGGGTCCGAGGAGTGTAGGAAGGAAGGCCAGCGCGAGGTTGCGTTCGCCGCTGCGAGCAGTCTGTACGGAGTACGTACTACGAAGTACGATATGTACCTACCTAAGGTACTCTGCAGCCTGCCTGCAGGTGGGATCATGGAGGAGGTGCTTTGGTCCTGGTCGTAAGCTCATATTCCTCCGTCGATCCTCCCGGGATTCAGCTGCTGGTTTCGCCCGCAAAGGGACATCGGACCCTGGAACAGCTGGCTCGCTCTTGACCCATGGTGGTAGGTAGTGTACACAGTAAGGAGGTGAGGTGGTGAGAAGGTGGGCGAGTGTGCACGTATTCCCACATTAGTATCCGGAGGTTGGAGGAGCAGAGGGCTACCCTGCACTCCTCGTACTTTCCGAAACCGTCCAGCGCAAATACCTGATGATGGTAAGTACGCAGTAGACTAGGTATAGGCAGTGGTGTTGGTGCATGGGAACTTTGGAGTTGCATCTAGAGAGACGGGTTGAGACTATGAGAGCTTGGAATACGCAGGATGCAGCAAAGCTCTATGATTGGCCGGAGAAGGTCCTATTCAGCTCGACTTACAAGGTACGTTTCTGCTTCCATCCATTTGCTGCAAGAAGTATCCGTCCAGAGTACCTAGTGTGTACGCAGTGTTACACTCACGTTCAACAACGACCAAGGACTGACACGACTGACACCCGGCAACAACGTTCACAGCTCTTTCCCTCTGGCTTCTTCGACCAAGATGCACTGCATAAAACGTCGTACTTCGTACTTTCTCTGTCTCCTCTTCAGGCGCCATGGCCCTACCCTAGGCAATTAGGTTCAGTTTGGTGAAAAGTGGCGGAGCTGTGGCCCTATCCGCTTCCCCGCAACTCAACACGCGTATTGGCGTATCTGCCCATGCCTGTTCTGCTCTAGGAGGCTTGGGAACGCCTCACCTATCTCGCATTCCTCGCATAGACCTCGCCTGTCCTCGTTTTCGCTCTCGTGGTGCGAATGACCGTGGTCGTTCTGCAAATCTGCGACCGATGCCATCGCTGTCAATCTCAGGTTATCGGCGAAGCCATGCCGAGCAGCCGTTCTCACCAACCATTGCACGATGCGAAGGTTACGAAACTTGTCGAGGGGCACTTTGGCCAGCCAAGGCACGAGTTAACTGCTCGCAGATTGCAGACTATCTCATTGTGGTTCTATTCAGGTTGGCACCCACAGAAAATCGGCCCCAAGCAATACCTACTAGCTGGGCGAGCATGTTTTAACCTTGATTAGCTATTGTCGAATCAAGAGCCCCTCGCCGACTCCATTTCAACGTCTTGGCCGACCATTTGCCCCCAAATCGGGTGGCCGTGTCTCTCTTGGCGCCCTGCACTCGCCGTATTGACATCTCGTCATTCACCAAATCGCTGAGAGCAGACATCGTTATACTTTTCGCTGTCAAACCACACCACGACCACCCTGTCATGCCAACCTCCAAACCCCGCCCTAAGCCTTGTATCCGTACCTGGAAGGGGGTCTGTGAAATTGCACCGCTCTTGCGGCCTTGGAGTGGTCCAGGCCTATGCCAATGTTGTTGGCGCAGCAATCTGGGTTGACCAAGATATGTTGATACCTGAGTCGACTTCGAGTGACTTTACCCAAGTCCCCTTAAGTCTCTTCATGTTACTCCCAAAAATGGCACCTGTCTGCCATGGAAGAAACCCCCGTCGTGGATCTCCCCAAGGCTTAGCGCGATGGGCTTCGTTTGACGGTGTCACCACGCCAAGCGCGGTAGCGGAACTTGATGTCAACGAACTAACATCTGAAAGGTGCCTTACTCAAAGGACCACCAATCGGTCTCATCTCTGATTTCTCCTTCGCCTGACCATCGGATGACGGCCACAAAAAAGCATCGCGCAATGCCCTGGACCACAGGAAACCTTACGGTCCTGCCGTCTTCATACCAGAACCCTCGGAAACCTTAACGCGAACGTTGCGATTATCGCAATATTGGGCTCCAGGCGGCATATACACGCAAGACGCTGCCGACAAATGTATCCCATTTAGAGGTAAACCCAGTCTCAATAAGTGTGTCACCGGTGATTATCTAATAATTGTCATTGTAACAGGGGCCTCCGGCCACGCAGATGCTGCGGACTAGTCTATATCATTCACAGCTTTGTCTACACGACTTTCACATATTGGAATTTCATTCCAAATGTTGCCTGATATTGCCAAATCCGAGGCGCCACAGTCAGTCTGACAGGCGAGAATGTTCGCCTTCTCGCATGGAATTTGAGTCAGGTGGCGTTTTAAGGCCAAGAATTCTGCCCAGTCACCATCTCACAAGGCACGACAATTTATCGAATTGCAGTATTGAATGCTTGCAATTGCCTATTTTGGATTGGCATCGAACAATCCTATGCTGGATACTGGAGGATCGGCATCGCGATGTATAACTGCCCTCAGTGATCAGTCACTGGCAAACCCGTGGGCCGTGGCGTGCTGATAGACATAGACTTTGCACACTTGCAAGGCCGTGGTCACAGAGACTCCAAAAGGCCCGACGTCGCGTTGGCAAACTCAATGCCAGTCGTTTGGGTCACGCTAAGCAACGATTACTTCTCGTCATCAGCACCTTAATCACCTTTTTAGAGTTGCAATTTGCCCAAAAATAACGTTCGCTGTTGATTGACAGGGTGGAGGTGCGCCCATTGAATCGTGAAGCCTGTCAGCTTACCAGCAGCAAGCAGTGAAATGAGGCTAATGCAGATCTTCTGCCCAAGTTTCAATGACAGGTGTACAGAGATTACCCGGCGGACGGAAAACGCGATTGCTCGACTTAAGGTATCTGTACTGCCGTCCAGTCACCGGCGACAAAACTCTCCATCTTGACCAGAGGAGTAAGCCAAACAGAGATTAGGGCTCGTTCAATCCCACGTCAGCAGCAGATATGCCTCCTGGACACAAGGCCACAAGTTTGATAAGAATACCGGCTTGATGGCGGCATCGTCCCTTCAACCACAGTCTCATAGGCTGTTTGACATCCCGACCTACGCAGGTTATGGCGCTCGTCAACGCCCGCAGCTTGTCTCGTGCGTGTCACCAGGTTGGAGATTGATCACAGTGGGGAGGCCATGGCCTAGCCACAATGACTTGGAGTAAGCAACGACCTGCTAGAGTCAAATTTGATCTTCTACAGACGGGGAACATCGCTTGATCTGGAGGGGAAGTGGGCTAATTACTGCTTCACCCTATACCAAACTCTGAGAAAGCTTATTGACTCAGACACAGGCCTTTCAATATGTCGATAATCTCACCTTTCAAGAGAGGAAAGTTAAAATTCAGACGAAGTTGGGGGCTACGCATACAGTCCGCCTATCTAGTATTGAAGATCGAGAGCCGGACCTGCCTCCGTAAAGGGAAGTGGGCGGGCGGGAGCGGTGACTAGGACTCGAAAAGGAGTTCAGTACGCTTAGAAAAGTCTATTCACGATGTTTGGGATTGGGCGCGCGCGAGTCGCGGTTCATCCTTTCTTGGCACGGCAAAACAGAAGTGCGAAAAATTGGCCACCCCGGTCACAACGAAATGGTCGGCGCTCCGCCGTCTCCATCTCCATGGTACGGCGCGCGTCAAAAAAGGGGTGACGGGGTGGAAGAAATAAGGTTAAGCGGCAGCGATTGGGGATGCGACGTCGTTCACAGGGATATATGCTGGTACGAAGCGCGAGGCTTTTTGACAAGCGTTCATTTGCGTTTGGATGTGGTTCATTCACATGGTCCACGGCAGGGAAGGGGGCCTTTCGCCGCTTACATGGTTTCACGGCCTTCATCTTGTCCTATCCCCGGCCCGCGGGCTTGGCCGGGGTCCGGGGTGCGGACAGTAGGGTTTGGGTTTTACTCCGCTTTTCCTCCGCGATTGGGCGCGGAGCTTCGGTTTCGGGCGTATATCCGAAAGCCAAAAGACTCACTCAATCATCAACGTAGCACCGTAACAAGGCAAAAAGGGTAGGAGGGCGCGCGGGAAGGTCCAAGGCGGAGGACTTGTTACTTGGACTGGTGACATTGGCGCTGGGCGGAAGTTTGGCGGAGGTCTCACGCGGGGCGTGGAGTCTGTGAAGTTATTCCGAATCTCAAGAAAAAACCGCCGAGTGGTGGTTTATTCTTGCGTGGTAAGCATAACGTGGACTACACCACATTCGTCCGAGCGATGGACGACTAATCGGCGCCGGTGCAATCGGTGCAAAACGCGGATTTGTCATCTCACCGTCGCCGACGTGGACGATGACTACGGACTTTTCCCCTCAACAGTAACACACGGGGACTCCCTGCAAAGCCCGTTGGAGCTGCGGTCTTCTGACGTGATCGAGTTCGTCGTACCTTATGGTCTTTGTCTAACTTTGCACTCGGGGTCTGGGAAAGGAAAGCTTGATAACGAGGGGGAAAAGTTGGGATGATTGACCAGTTCCTCTTCTTCCTTTGGAATCCCGCCCCGGCGGCTACGCCCGTTGATCAACGGGATCCCCTTCTCGGAGGACCATGAAGTCAAGAACCCACAAAGCACGGGGCAATTCTTGGGTGATCCCCTCTTCTTTCCCGTCGCCTGCGTAAGAGGTGCCGTTATGCCGGGTCATTACTCTTTCGGGCCTGGAACTCGCCATGGAAAACCGAGGGCGTGGAACTGGTATCCTGGCGCGGGATGGCGACTCTCTTGCATGGTGAGCTTTTTTGTGGTGATGGGCAAGGTGAGTGAGTGCTGGATTACACCGCCCCCTCGTTCCCCCACACAACCCTTACGGGCTTACCATACGGGGAGACCATCTTGTGTTTACTCTCACACACCACTAGACCCAATATGCCGGAGAGACCCTAAGTTTTCTCTGAGTGAGACGGTGAGGGCTAAGTTGGGTGCTGCATCGCTCGCTTTCTTGGTCCTTACGGCGTTCAACCCTTTTTGGAGGTTAGTCCCGGATGCTGTTGCGAGGCTTTCGAACAGACTCTTGGGCAGGTTTCTAGCTTGTCCTGAGCTGAAGAGGCTTTCAGTCTGACCGAAGTGCGGTTGGTGGTATGATACAAACGGCTGGCTGGAATAACGAGTGCGGCGCGGCCGCGCCCGTTCTCGGTTTCGGTAAATGCCAAACCAACAACGTTGGTCATTTTTCTGCCCCTTCGCCTCCCCCCTCTCTATCTATCCTCTCATCTGGAAGTCGTCTTGTCACTGTACTTATGACCTACATCCTCATCATCATCTGATGAATTGATGATCTGATGCTATGGTGCAGTCGTTTTCTTTGACGGCGGTGAAGCGAGGTGACAGTGGCATGCCCCCGGGCCCTACGAGGATGGAATGGAGGGAAGGGAACCCCCTCCTTCGGAACTCCCAGAGTGCCAGGACGATCTGCCTTACCTCTTGCCCCCCTCCCCTCATTTTACCCCTCAATAGCAGGGTGGTCTTTCTTATGGGGTCCTTTGAGCTTGTTCTTGGAGATAGCTACTAGCGAGCTATAGTCTTGGTTCGGTTCATCGGGTGGTTAGGATTAGGTTTTTTTCTGGCTCGGGTCTGTGGCACCTCTGTCGCTGTCACCGTCACCGTCACTGTCACTGTCACTGCCAGTCTTGTCAGATGGGGTGTAAGAGTAGTTAGTTCCTCTTCTTTGACTCTGCATTTCTCTGCTGGCGTGTCTATGAATACACTTAGGCTAGACGGGCCGGGTTGGGGAGATAGTCTGGACCGGGGTTTCTACTTGGTTGATGTCTTGTTCAGTGGGAAACGGTGGTGGCGGTAACGGAAGCTGCCAGTTTACGGAGCCCATTGACTCGATGTGTTCTTATTGACGATGTATGGAAGACGATGGGAAGTGAGATGGCGGCTGCGTTTAGTGAAAGTATGCAATAAATAGGGATGGCTTGAGTGGAGAGGACTAGCATTACACTGAGACCTATGGATCTAGTAGCCATGCTGACTTGTTCAGAGATCTGTGGATGGTCTTAACTACGACTTTTGATCCTCGTCTTGCCGATTGATAGACTTACACGCTCAGACATGCCTGGATGTCCCCTACAGTTCCTCAACTTCTCAAAATCATAGGGTTAAGTATCAAGAAATACGCGACCAGGTCCCTCATGCTTTGCTGAATGAGCTATTGAGGTGGTGTGCAAGACGTGTTTCTGATACGTGTGACCTGTTCAATCGGATGTTTGGGTCGATTGCAGCTTTCTAGTTATCGTAATTAAAGACTTAAGTGAAAACACAAAAGAGGCCCGTTGTCGAGCATGTCGTCCTCTCGCTTAGGTCTGTCGCGAGGCTTGTATCTGAGTGACTCTTATTTTGCATTCGCATCGACCCGTGTGCTTGTATCCCTAGGGCCTGGGCTCCCGTGTCACGGTTATGGCTTTGCTTTGTACCTCTCTGTAGTATGTTTGTATGAAGAAACACTTTTGCCACATGTGGATGAATGGCTGTCCAAGTTTGGGATCACAAATAAGTCCCGAGTCGCAGTTTAAAGTATGTCTGTTCTGGTGATAGGCATTCTATATGTTCTTCGATGTTGGCCTGCCAAACCAGCAGCATGTACCCTAGGCA